CCAGTCCGCTCCTGACTCCAATGTCCACATCATTAATGAAGATGTTGAACAATATGGGTCCAAGGACAGAGCCTTGGGGGACCCCACTGGTCACAGGAGACCATGATGAGTCCGTCAATCAGTTACTACCATGGTGAGTCCTTCCATCAATTACTACCCTCTGGGTCCGACCACAGAGCCAATTTCCCAGCCAGCGGATCATGGTGGACCCAAGGCTGCAATTGGCCAGTTTCGCCAAGAGGTGATCATGGGATACCAGATGGAAGGCTTTTTTGAAGTCAAGATATATGACATCAATCTCTTCTCCCTTGTCCAGGTGATAAGTCACCTGGTCGTAGAAGGAAATGAGATTGGTCAAGCAAGACCTACCCACAGCAAACCCGTGCTGGCTATCCCTGAGGATGTTGGTGTCAGCCAGTCCATTAAGGATGGCCTCTTTAATAAACTTTTCTACAATCTGCTTTGGGATAGAAATCAGGCTGATGGGCCTGTAGTTAGCCAGATCCACTCTCCTCCCTTTCTTGAAGATGGGCACCACACTGGCCTTCTTCCAGTCTTCGGGCACTACACCAGAGCGCCAGGAGTTTTCAAAAATCTGTGCCAGGGGCTGGGCTATGATGCTCGCCAGCTCCTTGAGTACCCTGGGGTGTATATTGTCAGGGCTGGCTGACTTGAAGGTATCCAGCTTCTCAAGGTGTTCCTTGAAGTACATGAACACCTTCATGAATGCTTATACTGTTTAGTGATAATTTACCTGAAAGTAAAACTGGTAACAAAGCCTCATTGTCAAATCTAGGGGGTCCATATCAATTTTGACATACTCTTCAATCCACATTTGGCTTCTGCTATTATAGTATCTTGTGGATTTGTATTTTGAAGTCTTCTCTGTATACCCTCTGCTTACAGGTCTTACAAGAATAGAGTTATATAAAAGTAGCAACACCCAGCTTGAAGAAGTGATAAAACTACAGAGCAGGCCACTTTCAAAGCAATGCCAATGGTGTGAATGAAGTAAAATGTTGTCAAAGAGAGAAAGTATGTGCTTCAATGAATACATCTCTGACTGAGTAAAGAAAATACTTTCAAAACACAGGGAAACAATACTGGTGCTGGGACCCACTGTCATTCAAACAGAACAAACGGGATCAATGTCAGTCAGTTGACAGAACTGCAATCAAACAAGAGAAGGTCATCTAGCAGAACAGTGACATGGGATGAAGGCCTTCTCTTTTGAAAACAAACGTCCTGTCTTCAATATTTCTTTAGCAGCTTTGCCTTTCAGGACAACCTCATTGTACTGACTGATTTCCATTCAGTAAACATTATAGCATCAATTTAAGGCAGCCTATTACATACCTGAAAACTCACATTCTTTCAGTTTTAGGATACAGGTAGTGAAAAGTCCTGAAAGTACACTGTATTACCCATGCCACCAAGAAGAATGACTTTGCTTATTCATTCTGGTAAAAAAATAGATATACAAAATCCATTTTGTTTTATTTATTGAGTCTTCGATTTGTATTACACACTTGTATCACACCTGCTAATTGGACCTTACAAGATCTTTTCCCTGGCTGTGGGAAAGAAGCTAAACTGGTCATGCATGCATAAGATACTAAATGAACACACATCAAGTATGTTGTCATTTTGGTTCTTGAACATCTTCACAAGCACAAAAACATTAAACTAATTGGGTTTTATTTATATTATTACCTGCAGATATTAGCAGCTTACAGAGGCAGGGTTTAACTAAGTTAACCCGCTACTTTGTCATTGGCTGTTTATTCAGATAATCATGGTGAGTTTTTGTAACAGATAAACAATATATACCCACAGCTTAACAACAACTAAAAGTCACAAAATGGCAAAACAAATTCTAAACAGCATTTGAAAATTAGTTAAAAATAAATTCTGACTTAGAAACAAAAGTGGGCCCATTCTGCTCAAGTTAGGGACATAATTTTGCTATAGGGAATGCGGGAATTTTACTGTATAGCATTACAAGACCATGATTTTCAGGAAGTACTGACCATCTACCTCCCTGAAAAATCAGGCTTTTAAAATGATTCAAGTTGGACATCTAAATTCTCCCTAAAACTCTGGCCAGTGCCCTTCCTGGAGAATTATTACTATCACTTCCCTGATGAGTGAAAGGACTGTAACTACCACTGGCTCTGTTATGTGACCCACTCTTTGGTTTTTCAGGGAACACAGAATTTAACATTGTTTTTGACAACTGTAAATAACTTCTTATTTTGGATGGCTAGGCGCTAATATGCATGGGGAAGAGAACATATTTTCAAAAAAATGTTGACACTTCACCAAAAACCCAATAGCTGAGTTCTTTGTGCACTGTCTTTTAAATTAGTTTTTTAGTTAAATATAAAACACTGAAAAATATTACTGTTATACACTGAAAAATAAATACTGGACCCATGGCTAATTGCCATGAATTCCCATTGAAATGAATAAGGAACAGAGTTCAGTACCTTCTAGTAAAGACCTTGCATGATTTGAGACTGGAAGAGTCCAAGTAGAGATTATTAAAAAATTGTAGATTCAGTGGAGTAAAATTGATGCATTGTAACATGGATTTACCTTAATCTCTTCCTGGCAGGGATCAGATTTACATAACAATTAAAACTGGATCAATTGTGCTTTCAGCTGAATGATGCTGCTGTGAGCTGGAGTTACCATGGCCCTACAGCAGTTTGACTAAGAACCAAATGTAACCGGTGAGCTTCAACCAAGGGGTTTGTTTAAAAAAAGGAAAAAAAACCTAGAGAAAGGAGACAAGAAATAGGAAGAGACACGAATAATCCTAAGGCTTACTTTGTGGTTTACAATTCCTGGCAAGTGTCTTGTGTTACCTTACCAAGATTTCTCAGAGCTGTAACTGACTCCTTGTAATTTGCTACATACAGAACGTGTCCCCTATCCTTACAGCTACATATCATATACTTGAATTACTTCACAAGGTGCAATCAGTTCAGAACTTTGATATAAGAAGCTGTTACTGTTACTGTCACTTCTATATTGCTGCCGTGGATTTTGCCCTAAGATAGTGGTGACTTGGGGTCTATTCTGTTCCACCTATGGTGCATCTAAGTCTCAGTATTAAACATATGTACTTGTGTAGCATAGTCTTAATGCTCAGATGAAGGTAAGTCACATTTTATCAAAAGTGGTTAGGAGGAGAAGGAAGACCCATCCACATTTGCTTAATTATTTTTAGGGACTTGAACAAGGTGGAATAGGATCCCGCTTAGATGCCTTGCCTACATACTGCTTAAGTGTTCAATAGGTGGAACAGGGTCTGGCCCTTAGTGAATAAATGTGTTCCAGTTATCTACTTGCTTCCATTTCTTGTGCTATGAATATTACATGCTTCAGTGCAAGAGGAACTTTACAACCAGCTCCATAAATATATATTCTAGCTGTGCTATCCACTTCACTAGAGTTAAGAAACTTCAGTAGTTCTTTTATACCTTCATACTAGGGATTTTTAAGTCACCCATAAACATGCTAGTTGAAAACTTTGCAAGTAGGTTTCAGGCCAACTTTATGATCACAGTGCATAACCTTGTGATTACAGAAATATTAACTTCTGATTTTTTTTCCAGTACTATAGTGGCTTAATGTTTTTGGCGGAAATTTTATAAGCCTGTAGGTAACTATATATTCGGTTATTTTAGTATTACAGTTTTTAGTTTAAGAACAAAGCTAAGTCAAAGCCAAATGTTAAAGTTCAATGTAAAAATCTCCCTTTGATTTCAGAGTGCTTTGGAGCAGGATCTACGTTATGCTTTGCCATGACTTTTGAGTGTATATACTAACTTTGGTTGGCATTAGTTGTAAGTCTGAACAGAACCCTGTCCAAATACTCCTGAAGCTGGGGATTTTAAATCCAGAGTAGAGTTTGAACCTTCCTGCATCTTGGGATACTTGGATACATTGGCCAAACTCTGCTTCAATATATAGAGATGTAAAGCTAAATTACTGGCCTACTAAATTTTATGCCAGCAATTTATTTGGCCCCTTATGCAACTGTGAACTCAATGAGAGGTTCATTTAAAGTTGCATGACATAATATGGATCCTGACCTTATTCAGTGGCTAGCTTTTCTTGAGCCACACAATATTCTGATTTTGTTATGATACAATATAACCCAAGTTATTCTCCTTTTAATTTATGGGCAGTTTGGTCCATCAGGCACATGGGGCAGTTTTACATGTCCTCTGGGAGGCACGTGGAGTAGGAAAAGGATGCTTTAATTAGCAAGCACTTTTAATTAAAGCACCCGAGCGCCACTTGCATCAGCGCCCCCCGTGCTGACAAATGGCAGTAGGGCACTTCGAACAAAAGCTTATCCAAGGAACTTTAGTTCAAAGTGCCCTGCCACCATTTTTTGGCATGGGGGACGGGACGCTGATACATGTGACGTCAGAGACTGCTGGAGCACGTTTTATTTCCGTGCTCCAGCAGACTCGATTAATCAAGTCCACTTCAACACGCTGGATTTCCAGCATGTTGGAGCCGTGTATAGGAGCCCACAGGTTTTAGAAAATTCTAGAACCCTATGCTAGAAATCAAGTAATAAAAAGTTCCATTTTAAAATGTTCCATCATAAGTTGACGAAAGCCAGGAAGACTTACTCACTGCCTAGGTCTGTGCAACAAGCAACTTGGGGTATGTCTACACATGCATTTAGGTGCGCCTGAATTTAATGGGCATTAGCTTAATGCTCATTAAGGCAATTTACTCTCATGTCTACACATGCATGCATTAAAGTGCAGTAATGCTGTGCGTGCAGACTGACATGAGACTCAAGGTAGTTCCAAGTCAATCCATACATAGCGTTAACATGCCTTAATACATCTACACATGCGTTAATGCGCTTTAGCTGCTCACACCTAAATTTGATACCTGGTATTACATTTAGGTGCAAATAGCCTAAAATCGCCATTTTAAAGGTGCATTAAGGCCACGCATGTGTAGACACGCATCCTTAATGCGCTTTAAATTGGGCTAAAGCACCTTAAGTTGGCACGTATAGATGCACCCTTAAAGAATGAATCAAAAAATTGAGTTGCCCTCAACAAAGCAAAGGTTACTGAATGGCACAAAGCAGCATGGGACCAGACAATAAAATAAACTGTAGAGGTGGAAATTCAGCTCTTTCTGTGCCATCTCTGATCTGTGCCATATCAGAGTGCTTCAGTGATATTTGTGAATTACCGTTCACAAGATCCTGGTGAGGTAGGCATGTATTACTCCCTCATACAGGAGAAGAAACAGAGGCACACAGAGATTACATGATTTGCCCAAGGTCACACAGGAAGTCTATGGCAAAGCTGGGAATTCAACCCAGATCTCAAGTCCCACAGCCCTGCTTTTATTACAAGACTCATTTCTCCCTTCCTCATCCTAGCAGTTCCTGGCTTTTGCTCAAACTTTTTCTTTTGCATGTAATAAACATTATGCAGAATAAACACTGTTGTAAGTAGCTTCCATTTCCTTGTCTTACAAGTTCAGTCATGACTCTCCAGTTATTTTCCATAAACACTGTTGTAAGTAGCTTCCATTTCCTTGTCTTACAAGTTCAAGTCATGGTTCTCCAGTTATTTTCCATAATAGCCAAGGCTATTCCTTTCTGAGATTTGGATTCAGTCCATGGTAGGAAGAGATGCAGCAGAGTTTCAGGCTGGATCTAGACTGCAGATTCAAGCCTAGCTCTTGTGATTTTGCTTGCTTGCTTCCAGCAAGCATGGAAGACAATGGACTGGAAGCTACAAGCACAGCAGAAATTCAACGAACAAAAATTGCTAACATTAAATACAAACACTAGTGCAAACCACAGGAGTTATTTTTAGAACACTTCATATTTATTTTAAAGTGGTCATAAAATTGAAAAGGCTCTAAAGCGAGACACAGGCAGGGCAGTTAGCCAAAAATGCAACCGTAAAGTGGTAAATTCATGTAAGATCTAGTTCTACACATAACCTGATAACTAATACCTACTCCCATTGTAGTGGCAAGACACTGGTGGTGCCTTTTGACTGTTTTTTTAATCTGTGTGGACTTTAGGGTTTTTATTTTGTTTGCATAAAGTGCTTTGTGTAAGCCTTTATAGCAGGGGTTCCCAACTGTTTATAGATATGAGGCAGCCCTTGGAAAATGCCAGTTCTTAGTTTTCACTTGTTTTTTTTTTTTTAATGGAAAAATAGTAGATCAGTTTTTCTGTTGCAAAAGGACTCAGAAAAATCATAATAGGTCAGATGATTTTAACACTTTGGATCCGTGTTTAAATCTCTCAGTTCGTCTTGTGAATCATGTTTGCACACCTAACAGTGTTAACATTGTGTGGTACCCTTGAAAGGATCTCAACTGTGGCACACTAGTTGAGAATCACTGTTTTACAACAAGTATGTGTAGGAGCAGTGTGCCTTATAGGCCCCATGTTATCTCTCTTAAAACCAAAAGAAGGACTTCCCTATGCTACTTCCTTTTTAAAAGCTATTTAACCCTGTGTTGGTTTAAAGGAACTATCATAATAAGGGCCAAATTGCAAAGCAGTTTCCATTTTTGGCTAAGAAGCTTGCCTTTCAACTGCCTCAAAACTGGAATTTAAAAAAATTAATAAATAACAGTAAGTCTATATCCTTAAAGGCCCAGTGCCTAAATTCACTGTTGAGCACCTTCACCACTTTTCAAGGTGGAGGGGCACCCACAGCATCCCTTGGCTTCTTCAGTCAAGCGTGCGGATGCTTAGCTAGTCTGAAAAGTAGGCTTCTCCTAGTTAAGTGCCTAAATAAAAGATTGAGATGGCTAATGTTAGTGACTCCATTTTGAAAACTGTGGTCTTTGTCTAATAGTAGGTAGCCAGACTTGAAAATTCTGTTTCAGGAATTTTCAGACTTAAGTTTCAGGAATACTGATGTACTTGCTTACACCTGCTCAGGATTTATTCATTGTGGCAGCAATTAAGGCACCACCTGAAACTCACATTGACTAGCTTTTTAAAAAAGCATTTTACAAATTGCTATGCCTGTCAAGGCTATTCAAGCTAATGAACCAAGCAGTTAGTGGTACACAAAATGAAGGCTATGACACAATCTCGAATGGATGATGTCAGAGTAAAAGTGCACATTTTTTTTTGGAAGCAGCGGGCTTTAGATAGACCACTTTGTGCTTTCTAGAGATAATTTTTCTTCCTTCAAAGGTTTTGATCAAGCCACTTTATGTAGCTCTCCCTGGTCTGAAGTCCTGCAGAAAAATCCGTAGGCCAGACAGTGAAGATCATGCAGCCATGAAAGCAGTCCTCAAAATGATCCAGTGTGACCTCCACACCAGCGTTCTCTAACCGTTTTGCATACATTACCCCATCATCTCTAAGGACATCATTCTCACATGTCAGGATGTAAGTCTTTGGTTGTAGTTGCAAAATGTCTTTTTCTGCTAGCAATGGAGTTGCACGTATATCAAGTAGTTCAGGTATTTCCCGGAGGATTTCAGCCTTCCCTGTGGTTTGTATTACAGGCTTGTAGTTCTTTTTGAATACTGAAGGGAGGAGAGAGCTCCAGTTCAGATGCCCCTTGTAAGGAACAGCCTGGCTCACATCAAGGGCAGTATGATTGTTAATTACCATTGAGTGGGCGAAGTCAGGATTACCATTGAAATAGTCTATCCAGAACTTTATCATGACAAATCGGGGAAGAACAGGCATATTCATGTTCTGTCTGTATGAAGGGGTGTTAAAATCTAATGCCTGAAGGACTGGATAAATCAAAGCCTGCAGTTTTGGTTTGTTAGTTACACTGGTGTCTCGACTCAGCTGTAAGGAAAATGGAAGATTGAATCAAATTGTAAAACAAAAACAGTCATTACTCTTCAAACTTAGATCTTACAGTCTTGGTCTCACTGAAAGGAATTCCTCTAGGATGGAGGTGGACATCTATTTGGTGTTTGACAGCCACATTCTCTTCTGGTATAACTCGAGTGGCAGACAATTTTGCTCTTAATCTGAAATTTTAGCAGCCTAAACTTGGTTCTTCTCTCACCGGACCCAGTTCTGCATCACTGAATAATAACACTACAACTAATTAACACCCATGTTAAATGAAAGAAAAATTAGGCATGCAGATGCCAAAAAAGTGTTCTGTCATGGCTGCTGGTCCTCAAGAACTAACTGAGCAGGATTACTGCAACTTTAAGACTGAGCTGAAAATTCACTGTCCCAGACACACAATCAACTTGTTTATCAGTGGTTAATGATATGATAAAAGATGATGTTACCTTACTGAACCATCAATTACTACTTAAATATCCTAACCAGATCCTAGTCCTCTTAATTTAAATTAGAAATTAACATTGAATAAGTAGTAGGAAAATAATTTTTTCCCTACAGTTGGGCTCTACCATGGAAAGGCAGTTTGAAAGACACTGTTTTAGATGCAGATAGAAAGAAAATATTACACTAGCAATTTTTAAACCCTTTGACAAAGGATTCCAGGTGCAAGAACTGTACAAAATTGGGAAATGAATTTATGAATTAAGCACATATGTATTCAGTTAACCGTGGACCAATGAGATGCACACAAGAACAAAATGTAAAAACATGCAAATTGGGTATGACCCTTTAAATCCAGTAAGTTACCTTGTGATGATGCACCCCAAATAACCCATATCCCCATGTGCACAACTGGATTATGGACTGTTCTAGTGTTAGAGATAACAGCAGTTGTTACCTGCTGGCACACAGCAGCAGCCAAATTCCCTCCTGCGCTATCACCAGATATTGCAATTCGACTTGGGTCAACCGAGTATTTTGCTAGGACATCAGGCTGCAAAAAATGCTTAGCTGCACGGAAAGCATCGTTGAATGGCTCAGGGAAATGAACCTTTGGGACCAGCCTGTATCTACAAAAAGAAGAAAGAGAGGCTTCTGTAGAACAGTCATTACTCAAAAATACCTTTCTAGAAGGATTACAATGTACTACCAACACAACAAATATTGTGTTCTATGCAGTTTAAGTATTATCAGCAAAACAGAAGGCATTAAATACTCGTATATATACACCCTCTACAATGTTAAATCCTAATAATGAAAGATTAATGCTCACCTAAAAGGATACAAATAAACTAGGAAATATTTATTTAATATTATATACCGCAATATCTGCTGGCAGAGGATCTCAAGAAGCATCACAGACATTAATGAATGCATCCTTGCTGTGCCTTTGCAAGTTAGATATTGTTAAAACTTAGAGGACAGAATGAACATTCAAAGCCCTGATACGCTGGAAATATATAGGGTGATATTTAGTACAGACAAGTGTAAAGTATGACACTTAGGAGGAGCAACCAATCCAGAAATACAAAATGGGGAAGAGCTGGCTAGGCTGAAGTACTGCAGAAGAGGACCAAAGGTTACAGTGCATCACAAGCTGAATATAAATCAATAGTATAAGGTAAAAGAAAGAAAAGAAATAAAGTTAATAGAATAGTAGGATTTATTAATAGAAGTGTCAGATGCTACAGCAGGAAGCGATTTTTCTACTCTATATAGCCTTCTTCATCTGGAGTACTTTTTTCCCCCAGTCTTTTCAAGACAGATATAGACATGCTGCAAGGTCCAGAGGAGAGCAACAAAAATTAATTAGGACTAGACAATATGATGCATGAGGAAAGACAGGAAGACCTGGGATTAAGTTAATCCAAAGAGAAAACCAAGGGAGTTTGGGCAACTGGGTTCAAATACAAACAGAGTTTTTATAAAGAGGATGACAATCAGTTGTTCCCCTCATCCATAGGTGACAGGACAAAAATTAATGGGCTTAAACTGAAACAAGGGAGATACAGTTTGGGTATAGAACAATACTCTGACAATGCAGGTGGGCAAGCCTGGGAGGAAATAACCTAAGGCAATTGTGCAATCTCCATCACTGGATGTCCTTAAGTGCATGTTAGGCAAACAATTGTTAGGGACAATTTAGATGGGGAGGATCCTACCTTGGGCAGGAGGTTGGATTACAGGAACTTTTGAGGTCCGTGCAAAAGCTATACAATTCTCAGATTTAAATGCTCCAAGAGCTTCTTGGCTCAAATTGAAAAGAAGAGTTTTGAAATTAGAACGTGTTGGAACAACATTTTTGATAAGTGAGAATTCCAGTTATTTGGTTCTAAACATATTTAGAACACGTGTAAGCAGATAAGGTAAAACGAAAAAAAAATTTAAATGGTCAAAATCAAAACTTTGTGCCATTTGGGACAGGGCAATTTTGAGATCTCAGACATTTTTGTGCGATAAGAAATGTGTGTCCTACTCCCCTTCACTGTAGCTTAATTTGTTTTCCTTCAGCTGCATCTAGGTTTCCCTTAACATGCATTAAAGTCCAGTGTGTTTCATTTGACTTTTCTCCAAGCAGTTTTGTATACACATGCTGGCTGAACTGCCACTTAAATCTGTCATGTGTAATTTATTATCAGTCCACTAGAGGTAGTAGAAAAGCCACTGTTCTCTGCTGAACACAGCAGAGGGGAACCTGCTTTCTTTTGTATGTTTTTCCTGTTTGGACTGTTGTGAGCAGCTGGTCAGTCAATCATCCCTGGCTGGTGTGCAGGGAAAGCAGCAGCCAGCATTTGCTGTCTTTCAACCTGTGAGCCAGATCACCAAAGTGGGATTACATGTGACAAGCTCATAATTAAAGCTGGTGCCCAGTAGGTGGTATAGTAATATAAATGTATAAAGCCAGGCAAATTTGAAGCAAAATGTTTCCTGATCTTCTAGCTATACAAAGACTGCTAACTCCTCCACTAAAGAAGTTAATGGGACAACCTTGGATATTTCATTGCCTTAAAATTGCTGCAGTTACAGAAAACACTCTCAGAAAGATACTTTTAATCACTCAAGGTTTTAACCTCTCTCTCTAGAAAAGGATTAATTACATTTCAAAATCTCTTGTTTTTTGGAGTTTGAGACAAGTGGTTTATTCCTAAAGATATAAAAGAGTGCCAGCTGCGCACTGCTTTGAAACTACCTCCCCCTCAACGGCCATTAATAATGGCAGGTAGCAGCAGTAGTCATGATCATGCTTGCTTTATTTTGTAGTGCTCCTAATTGTTGGAGTCAGTTAGGGGCCCACAGGTTAGGTTGAGACTTTTGACCTAATCTTTTCGAAGTGTCAGGTGATCAGATGCTTTTATCAGCTGTACAGCTCTCTTCATTTATTGTGAAAGCCCCATAGCAGGAACACATGCCCTTGCCATCAGCAACCAGGACTGGTTCTTGCCATTCTCTTAGGGTCTTAAGCCTTACATAGACTAAATGTTTGTGATTAGAATGTGTTAGTCAATGTGTGCTAATGAAGGCTGTATCTACACTGAACAGTTAACCTGGGTGATTCCTACCTGGATCTCAGATCTTAGTTTAGCTTAACATGAGTATGAAGTTTCCAGCAGAAAGGCCCAACCTGCATTTTATTGCATCCCTACTGTTTCTATGCTTGCCCACGTTGTCATGGGACATATCCCACAGTTCTTTGTATGGAGTTGCTCCATGATTCTTTCCCAATATATTTTGCCAATTGCAGGAATACCTTTCTGTCCTCCAAAGGAAATTGTGGTTAGGATACTAGAGGATTATTAGCATTTGGATTTTGCCAGCATCCTTACTGCAAAGTATGTATGCACGTTTGGGAGAGGGTTCCAGCTGAGCTAAACTCAGCTTGAGCTTTAACCTATACTCCAGCAATTCAAACAAAGTACAGATTCATTGCTCAATGGAACATGTACTTGATGGTTTTGCATGCAAATGGAAGTAGGGTTTAGGCAAAAGCATATAGAAGCATGGACTAAGACTACATTGTAGGCAGATCGTGATATGTTAGGCCTTAACAAGCTTCAAACACTGTATCTTAAATCCCAGTCTAGGCCTTATCTTACTTCCCCCTCAAAATGCAACAGCATATTTGAGCTTGCTACTCTTGCTCTATGTTCTTTATTACCTATAAAGAGGTGACTTGACTTAAATCTGGGACTTTAGTTTAACCTCTCCAGTGGTATAGGAACAGGTATATTAAAAGCATCATCCTGATAGGTCCACTCATCTTAGGGATTGTATTATCATCACATAGACTGCCTGCCTTTGTGATATAAGGACATACAGCTGTGGAACCTGCTACCCTTTAACACCCATGTTAGAATGACCCCTCCTTACTTTATTTTTATACACCTACAAGTACACTTTTCCTTCCCCCAGACCAAAAAGGAATCTTTAATATGAGTTGCTTCCAGACAGCATTTTTCTCCGTTCCTCTCATTTTTTCTTGCATCTGGCCATCTGTTCTTCTCAAGTTGGGGAACATTATTTTTCATTTCTAGTGCCTCAATTCACAACTGAAAGATACAAGTCACACTCATATATAGTGCCCTTCGTGAGTAAAGATGTAGGAATGAGAATTAAAATGATTAATTATATCAGCCAAATCCAGCTAAGACTTTCTGATGTATTCAAAAAGTCAGTTACATTTTTTACATTGGATTCTGGAAATGGCATATATAAGAGGCTATAAAAATGGCATTTCCAGCCTATTTGTTCAGTGGTGCCTAACTTGACCTGGATGAGTGGCATGGATCCAGTACATAGGCTAATATCCAGAGCACAGGGCTGAACTGCAAACTGGAATGTAAAGCTGTATCAAGCTGGAATTTGGTCGTGATATCAATTGCTGCAGCACCCATGTGCCAAATGACATGGCTGCATGGGCTGGATCTAGCACCTGGGCCAGGTGTTGGTTATCCCTGGATTCGTTCATTCAGATACCATGTTCTCAACACATGCTAGAAGTGATTTGACCCAAAAAATGCACGCAACTGAAAGGCAGGGGTCCACGTGACCACTTTAATATTCTACTAGCTGAAAGTTTTGCATTTAACAGAAAATCAGCTGTGCAAAACAAACTTGAGGCACAACACCAAGATAAGTAGCTTTTTCAATTCCTCAATCTTCTGGGACTTTAGAAAGCAGATGGAAGATTACATGACTTTAAGTGAGAGGAGATAGGTTTTTGGGAGCCCCCTGCACAACAGATTGGGTATGCATCATGCAAGTGAGATGTGCAATTAAACCAAGGAGAAATCAAATTAGACTGCACTAATTGAGTATAAAAGGCTTGATTGAGAGATATTATGGTTGGGGAGAGAAGACAAACAACAATAACTCAAGAAAACAGGCGGAATTACAGCATCCTAAACAATAAAAGGAATAATAAGGGGGTTCGAATCTGGTGATAGCTACTTCTCTGCAATGACCAACATCTGTTCTCTAACTCTGGCAGTTATTAACAGAGACAATAAAAGGTGCTGAAAAGCCTATCCCTTACAGTATTCATTTCAATATAGTTTATCAGTAAACATCAAGTCAACATAATGAGACTCAAATTTGAACACACCAGTGGAGAACTTGAATGACTGCATTAAGTGCTTTGCTTTTGTGAATGAAAATGTTAAATTTGACAAGGGGTCGTCAGAATGAAGTTGCAGCATGTTTAGTGGCTTGAGAGGCTAGTCCAACTTACGTGGATGCCTCTATCCAAAAAGATGCCTTCATTCTTTACTGCCTTGTCCCTTGGATAAACCATATGGCTCCAATCAGATCTATGGAATAATGCGGTAGGCAGAACAGCAGAAAGCCAGGAGGCTTCACAGCATATTTAGGTTTAGGAGCAGTGTCATACAGTTTAAACCCTTGTTCTTGGATGGACATGAAACATTCTTAATTTGAACCTGGCTCACAAATCTCAGGTTCCAGCTGGAAAGTACAGTGGCAACGACCATGCACAATCCCAGCAACTGAATAGAGAGATTGAGTGATGCATGTTTCTACTTCCCTTCAAAGTGTAGACGATAACGTCTGTGTCTATATTTGCATTATGATCCTCAAAGCAACATTTTAACATGAGTGATTTACTCAATCTTAGGCTAAGAACTTTATATGCATCTACAATATTGAATAGACAAAGAATTTCTTAAAGGAAACAATTATAGTGGCTATCCCTATTCTTGTTCTACAATTGGGTTTTAAACAGCTAGAACAACTGATGGGGCCATAATTAAAATCATATTCAGAAACCACGCTCATTTTCATTGTCAGTTAGAAGGACCAAAAATATCTTACTGCTAAAAAGATGGTTTTTCCAAGTTAGAACCATTTAAACAAGTCATAGAGATAAGATTAAAAAAACCAACCCTCACTCATTTATACAGATACATATTTATAAATACCTTAAATTACTTTATTGATTATAGATTACTCACTCAATTGACACAATTACAGCCTTCAGAGATTCTGTCATGATTTTACAGAGATTGTTATAGGAGCTTGCTCCTAGAAATAAAAGAGCCATATGTTAATGATGGACTGTTCCAAGTTTATTAACATTTTATATGGCAACACATAAATTTGGATTCATAAGAAGGATCAATGAAAACAATAAACAAGAATCTCAGACAATACAATGATCTCATTACTATCAGCAAATCTTTATGTAAATGTAAATCACTGGAATGCAATAACTGATAAAGCACTACCTGCTATAGAATGAACAGAAAATTCCTGCCTTCAAATCATCATCATTTTTTGTACAACTTCCAGCTGGTCATTTCATCTGTCTACCTTACCTTTACCTTTGCCATGGAGGTAAGACATGCTACTGAGTCATCACACACACAATCATTTTATAACAGCTTGCACACCAAGTTCAACCTTGTTTTTACTAAAGTGAGTAATCCTATTAAAGAGGCTATTCACTTAAGCTGGCAGCAGGATCAAGACCATCCTATTTCCCAGGACTTATTTTCTATAATTTTGGTCGTCTTTGGCTACTGAATGCTTATTTCATGGGGGATGTAGAATATGCAAATATATTAAGTACCCAGTCTCAAGATTTAACTGTAGTATGCGTGCCAGTAATTTTTACAGCTCATGAACTGCAAGGACGCGTTAGTCACAGCTGAGTTATAGTGATTTGAATGAAGCCCAATAATATGGATACAAACATTTTGCACAGTGGGAGTGCCATGCAAATTGCTACAGAACAAATAAAGCTGCTGGAGTTCTAGCAGGCATCAGAACAGCTGCGTATGGAAGCTCTTCCTGAAGAGACTCGCTGGAGGAACTTCTCTGAGAGCAGAAAAGGCAAAGGAATGTTTAAAATTACCACAATTGAAAACCACAGGCCAAACAGCATGGCTGGATCAGTGGCTGTGATATCACTGTCTGCAGCCATTGATGGAGTGATACTTCTGTGGCCAGGTAAGACGCCCTAATTTTCAAGGTAATTTCTGCAAAGCAGTAATTATTATTTCTTCCCAGTATGTTTGTAGCCCACATGCTATTAAAGGATGCATTTTATCCTCTTGTCTCTCATGTGGCACAGTCAAGATAGCTACTACTGGACCCTCTTTTTTAAAATCAGGTACGTCTCAGCCACATTTCCAGCTCTGGGATGAGGAAAGATTTTGCTTACAAACCATCCCGATCAGAACACACTTTAATTCTATTTAATTAACGATAGATTCATACTTGCACTTGCCAAGGCCCAACCTCCACCATGGATGTAAACCACGCTACGCCTTAGTGCCTTGTCCTCCTTCTTGGAAGGTTCAAACACTCTGACTTCTACTCCATCAAACTGGGTATCTTTGATCTTCACCAGTTCAGAGGATGGGTTCTCCAATTTGTCAAGGACACCAATCACATAATTCAGGACTGTCAAGTGATGGCTGAGTCTTAGATAGTGAACCAGGTTGCACTAGGAAAGAATTAAAGAGAATGAAATGACAAAATTACATGCTAATCACTTGTATTACTCACAAACTCATCCTACCTCATTTCAACGGTGTTTGATGATATGTCAACGGCAGTGCTTGCAATGAGACAGACACCAAGAAAGTGATGGTAACAAAAGACTTTTCAATTGTCATACCACTTCACACGATTAGCACCTCCAAGACTGAGATGTTTGAAAAGTAGTTAGACCAGTGGTTTTCAACCTTTTTTTCATTTGTGGACCTCTAAAAAATTTTGAACGGAGGTGTGGACCGCTTTGACTTGCAAGTGTGGGTATTCATACACTTTTGACTGATTTATAATCTTTCACGGATCCCTCAGACATAGTCTGCAGACCACCAAGTGAAACCTACTGAGTAAGACTGTATGAGAAGCCTCCCTAATACAGCAATATGGAGCCCTGAAGTACCATTCACAGCTCTTCCGGTAGAGGGCAGTAACACCTGCACATACTTCCAGCTAAAACAAAAGTGTTTGCAGCATTTCCAAGGAAACTATGGACCTCTAGTCTAAGTTCTCCACCACTGATTTTATTATTCTGCCTTCCTTCTTACAGCTTGAAGCAGTTTAAACTGCTAACTTAACCTGTGTCTACATCTCAGTTCACTCATTTCCAAGTTTATTGTAAGCATCTGCTTCATGGCAGCAGCAACCATAAGACTTAATCAATGTTTAAAAAGCTTGGAAAAGGAGACATAAGCACAGAGTAGTCATCTTATTCTATGTAAAAAGAGCTGCCCTGAAGAATGAACCTTTCTACTGAGACTTTTCCTTAAAAACCCAACAAAACAAATCAAAAACAAAACAACTGCCCCCCTCCCCCAGTTACTGACAATAAGATTGAAAGCAGGACAGTTGTGACAGAAGGGAAGGAAGTTTTCAGGGAAACTGGTTTTCACCAGGCAGCCCAGCCTGCATTGACTCTCTGAATTCCCTAAAATGAGGTCACACTTCTAGGAGTAGGGTCAGCTGATGATCTTCTTTCAGCCCAGTGCCCTTTGTTCTGGTGAACTGCAGTGGCCTAACCTTTCCCTTCCTTATGCCTTAAACTGCAGGCTCTTGGTTCCACGTTTGTTTTCTGCAGAAAAGATAAAGCACCTACATTAACCAGCTTAAGAGCTCTTCCACCTGAATGGTAGAGGACTGCTTCCCAGTATATAAATTACTGTATTTCTATAGCAATTGTGGTTGTAATACATGATTCCCCCCACCCATGCCCTGCAACGTCTACAGACAAAGAGATGATATCAACCCAAACTACCAAGTGGGGAGTACATCTCCAAGGGCAAAGCTGCTAGTGCTTATTAAAGAGTGCCAAGAAGGGTTTTGCCATTTTGAACTGCCTGAAGCATGCTAGAGCAGTGGTGACCAACCTTTTTGCCCAGTGGGCCAGACTGGCAGTGCCTGGTCCATCCAGGAGCCAGATCCAGCCAGTGTGCTTGCGTGGACACCATCTCACAAAACAGCCCCAGTGCAGCCCTGCAGGGGAAAAGAGCTTGTTCTGGACCACAGAGAGGGAAGGAAGGGAGCATGGCCCACTCATTGGAAAGGGAAGGGTGCGTGGCTTGGATCTGACGCAGGGAATGGGGTTTGGGGATTTGGCAGGGGGAGGCTGGCCATATTAATAGCCACTGCTCCCCCCACTACAAAATTTCCAGACCTCTGGGGAGCCCTGCGGACGATAGCTCTGCGGGCCACATTTGGCACAGATTGAGCACCACTGTGCTAAGGAATGAGCAAGAAACTAAGCCCTTTCTAGCCATTTTCAGTAGGTCAGTGTGGATCTGGGTGGTACAGGAATAGTAACCCTGACCAAGATCTATGGGAAACTATTGTTACACAGGAACACTAGTATCAGAACTGACCTTTTACTTAATGTAAATAGCATGTATTTGGAAAGATGTCTTCACATAACTACGGAGTAACATACATACAACTTTATTACTTTAGATACAGTGGTGTAACTGCATTAATACAACCTCCCTGCGTTCCTCACACCCATACAGTCATTTCTAGATAGGAAGGAGATAAGCCATGCTGGTATACGGCATCAATATGTTAGTGTAACTGCATTCACATTAGCAGGTTATGCTGGCTTAAAATATTTTTGTGTAAGAAACCCCTGCCCCCCTCCCTCCCCAATTGGAGTTGTTATACCAGTATTAAACTTTGGTGTGGACCATGCCTTATTGAAAATCATGGACAGATTCCTAAACAACATAAATGCTTTGCAAAGGAACCTACTAAATGTCAATCTGTTCCTCATTTTCCAAGTGCGTCTACGGGTGAACATTTCATTAGTGGTTTCTGTGTTAAGAAACATTCCTATCTGTTTACTAACCTCTGCCCTGCTGTTTTCTCTAGTTACTTTCCAGTGGTAAGACTACCATCCTGCAGTACCATTGTATAAGAGCTTTTGGACAGAGGACAGAAACACACTGCTTCAAGACATGCACAGAAGAAAAACCTGTTTTGGAGCAACCTCAGCAGAGGAAGCTTTGTTGTACTCTGTAGTGTCCTTGCCTTGGGACTGTTACCACTTCAGATTTATAGCACTATTTCCTGCCTATGGCATTTTACAACATTTGGAACATCAGCATTCAGATATTCGATATACCAGAACTAAGACAGCAACATTAATCCAGGTGCTTTATAAAAAGCAAACTGATCCCTGTAACCTACTCCTACATCCCACTCCAACTATGGATTCCACAGGTAAGTTTGAAGTTTACCTAAAAAACTATGAAAACCCTGTTTGGTGAACCATGGGGGGGAATCCACTTCCAAATCTGAGGGACATTAATGAAGGTGACCTGCTTCAAATATGGTAATATCAAGTGGTTAAAGAAAGGGCCCAGGTTCCAGAGACTTTATAAATCAAATCCAAGCTTAATATGCTGTAAAAAGTCCACCACAAAAGCACAAGAAATATCTACCCAAGCCTAGGAAATGCTGAATGCACACAAATTTTTATCTTTGAATTCCAGATCATGCTGTTCTGCATATGTTCCTTTTAAATTCTCTTAGGCAAATCTAATTCAAGGTTGCATGCTATGTTAGAAAAAAGCATATCAGTGTGGGTCAAAAGAATTGCTCTCAGGGAAGGAATACATTTCCCTTAAGGTTCAGCAAGTCCAGTATGTTTATTAAGATTTTGGTTTTGACTTCAGCGGTGCTGTGCAGCTCTACCACAGCTAAAGATCCGAGACCTTATCCATCCTGGTGCGGTTGTTAGGAACCAAAAATAAACAGCGAAGGCAATTTTGCAAGGAAATTTTGTGAAATTTCTGCCCACTGTAGTTTCATGCAACAGCTAACACTTAACATGGTGGCTTCCAGATTATTCACTGGAGCTCACAGTCTCTCTGGACAGTTACCGGATAGCCCCAGAAGTCAGAAACATCCCATTATAAGGCTCAACTCCTGTTGGTTTTACAGAAAACTGTTTGACCTGGGTACTGAGAGGACCCAGCAGTCAGGGTGTCTAAGAAGCTCTCACATGTTGTCTAGCTACCTTGACTTCATAAAGCCTCCCAGCAATCCCCACCTTCTGTACAACCCAACCAACAAAACAAAAAAGATCTCAGTTTGTCAGGGAGGGGAAGGGAAGAGAAGGGGAGGGCAGGGGATAAACCCACTTTATTTTTTTGCTTTAAAGATAGTCAACACTTTAGATATAAAGGTGAAAGGTGCATTAGAAATACTTCAGATAGATTCAACCATCTGAATTGCTTCCCTTGAGGTTCAGAGTAGTCCAGTAAGTTTATCAATGTTTTGTTTTTGACTTCAGTGGAGTTCCCTGGATCTAGCCCTGGGGCATCATTTGTAGGGCACTGAGAATATGCTTGTGACAACATGAGATAATGAGCCAGATTTGTCCTAATGAAAATCTATGTAGAGCCACAGACTTGCTCCAACTCTGGGAACACCTAGTGGCAGCAAGGCTACTAGCAGATCAGTCAACACAAGCAAATAAGGAGTGCACAGGCCTTCACTGACATCCGTGTGCTCACCTTTCTTGTGAAAGACTACTGCAAGTCACACTCAGTGCTTGCAGACGTCAAAAACAAGCACACAAACAAACAAAAAAAACGTTGCTTTAAACTCGGCACATTCTTGCACCAAGCCCCACACGTGTCCAGAGCAATTTAATTGGACTGAGGTCCCCCAGTGTCGGTATAGATCAGGTACTTTAAGTAGGGCTTTTTGGTGCTTTTATCTAATAGGCTATTAGATTAGTAACAGCTGATAAAGGTAAATAGGCTATTAGTAATAGCTGACTGAATCAGCTTTAGCTAAAAGTGCCAAAAAGCCCTGCTGAAGCACCTGATCTATATAGATGCTGCAGAGCCAGGCCAAAGCTGCTGCTTCTGGTAAAGTACGGTTTGGTTTTGCTGGCTTTTTTTAGTCTGTAAGTGGCCTCTGTGTGTTGGATGGGCAGGGGAAGAGGGGAGGGGAGAGGCTGGAAGGAGAAGAGCAGAAAAGGAGAAGCAAAAGATAGAGAGAAACCAAAATTAAAGAAAATGTGAGAACTAGAAACAGGAGAGTACAAAGATTAAAGCCAATAGTGGATCCAGGACTAGGGCAAGGGGGTGTGTGGGACTGTGGCTGTGCTCTGACCTCCATGCTCCCTACCCAGTCAGCATAGGTTTCTGCTGGAGCTCCTCATGAGCAGTGAACTCTAAGATCACCAGGTGACTGGAGTGCGGTGCAGCCAGAGCTTTTGCATGGCTCCAGAGCTCGGGGGAAGAGCACTGCTGCTATTTGCTCTTGCCTTTCATCTCCCTCTCCACTGAATTCAGCAGGAGGGGAAAGGAAGGGACAAAGGGTGACAGCAACATTCACCTATGCCAGAGCTGGGCAAAAGCAGGGGCTCCAGCCAAAGAGGGAGCACAACCACACTGCTTCCCCCCTGCCCCTCCACTAGATCTGCCATGCTAAAGCCTTGCTTACCCCACAACT